GAAGCCTCTTGGATGAGAGGTGAAATGTCTTCAAGGAACTTAAGCAAGTCCAGTTGCTACGATTAATCTACCAGAATTCCTGTCTAAAGGTTTAAGGCCCCTTAGATGTTTAGATTCTTCTCCATCATGCGATGCCATGAATAAATGGTCTGCACTTATATAGACTGAGTATAGAATAAGACTTCTGATTGTTCCAAAGTCATTCTGCAGCAGGAACAATGACCCCGAACACACAGCCGAAGTCATGAAGAATCATCGCCAGCGACAAGATAATAAATGGAGCACGTTCAGTGTCTTGCCCAAGGACACTTTGGCATGTGGAGGGGCTGGGGATCAAACCTCCTACCTTGCAATTAGTGGACAACCCGCTCAACCATCTGAGCCACAGCTGCCTCGTGAGAACGAGGAGTCCTGCAACAGATGGCGTGGCTGCCACAGAACACTGATCTCGGTATCATGGAGTCAGTCTGGGATTACATGAAGACATCGAGGCTGCCTAAATCCACCGAACAACTGTCCTCCAAGATGCTTGGAACCACCAATTGCATTTACTCTGAAAGTATTCTCATTTTGAATTTAGTGTCTCAAACTTTATTCACAGTACTGTACATGTATACCAAACAGGGAATAAAGCTGTAGTTAGAGATGCTATCATTTCTATCAAAGCCAAATGACTCCCTGTAATATTGAATGCTTCTAAGTACCTCAGCGGTCTCTGCAAATCAACATGTCACTTTCCAGCTCTGTTCAGTTTTAAGTTAAGCTGCATTTATTGTTTTAGTGGTTTATATAACCTTCCATGCAAAACTGTGTTTACACAAAGCCATCCTGCTCTAGATTACCCAACAAAGCAATGGTAAACTTCTGACAAGAATTCCAGCCAAGGAATGTTCATGGTATCTTTATTCAGTAATGTCAGCTTTGACATCAATATGGACACGGTTGCTTGATACTTCTCCTAAATCATATAGGACCCATAAGGCAAGTAAATATTGACACTGAGCTGGACAGGTGACCCAAAAGAGAACTTAAATAGCTGTATTTGGTCCGATTAGACGTCTGCTTTCATTGATGTTGGGGAGAAGTATGTTGAGAATTATGGAAGGTCGCCTACTCCATGTACCAACAAGAAATAATCAAGACTATGGACAAGTTGGAGAAAATTGGTGGATGAGTGAACATCAACCAACAATACAGATGGATCTAAAGAAGAGATTGTGAAAAAAGAGTTTGAAATCTTGTTGGAGGAATGTTTTCTCCTGGATGTTGCAAAGAATCTTGAACCTTCATCTTCACTCTCCTATTGTAGCTTCATGCGGTGGCAACATTAGGTTTTACATTGAGATCACATTGTTGTGTGTCAAAGCAGATTGTATGAGATACAATGATACTTTTGTGCTGAAGCTGACTTCTGTGTATATTTTTTTCCTTTTTGAATCTTTTGATACGCAAAAGTAGATTCAGCTGATCAGCTACTCACAGAAACAAGGATAAATCCATACATATTAAAACTCTCAGTGCCACTGCATGAATGTCCTTGCTATTGGTGAACCTGCTTTGGATCTGGAAAGCTTCATTATTGAATATCTGCTTCTGATTTGTGATCTTTGGCAGCATTACATCTTTAACTGTAATGGAATAAGAAAGGACCCTTATGGCTGCTGTTATTAAAAATTGCCTTTCTCATTGCTCACACAGTACTTTATTATTGTGCGATCTTGCAGCTCATTTACATTGTGATGAATGTAACTTTTTAGTTTTTGTTGCTGCCTAGAAGACAAAGTACAGATGAAAAAGTTTCTGTGACTTTTGTGTTTAGACAAATGGACGAGTGATGCTTTCTTTACAGTGATATGTATTTAAGGTCAATGTTGAGAATGTTGGTATGAGAAGAATGCATCATATGAGACATTTCACTTATAAGGACGTTAATGCTAATTTTCCAAGTGTGTGCTTGAGAGTAGATGCTGCTGCCAGCTGAGAAACGCTACTAATAATTTCAACAAATATAGTGGTGATTGGTAATCTTTACAGTTGCTGGTTGGTTGATTGTGTTACCTTTGGATAGAACCAGGCTATGTGGCTTCTTTATGCTAAGCAAATCTGAACAGCTGCTGTCTGTAGCCTCTTATTTACCTAACAAAAGAGCATGGCATTGATCTTTCCATCTACAATTGTCAATAAACTAAGTATCTTTACCAGAATGTTGAATTAGTCACTTACATCTTGGATTAACCTGTAAAAAAAACTTGCTGAAAAGTCATCACTTTGCAGAAATGTCCTGACTTTGATTGTCAAAAGTCAGTTCCCATGAGGACAGGATGATCGCAACAATCTCTCCACCAACAGACCCACACACACTCTGTAGATCTGGCAGTGTTACATGGATCGGTGCCATAATCTGTGGATGCCACATTTCTCTGGGCTCTGTGACATTGCAGAACTTGCGGCTCCCGAAGTTTCACACCCTGCTTTCACTGCCGAGGCTGTGTTCCCACACCGCCACACTGGCAACTTTATCATAGCCGCTGTTATGTCGGGCTCGAAAGCGCATTTCATACGCTGCATAGTTTCATCTACCTGTTTCAAAGCACAGGGAGAGCAGAGAATTCTGCAGTGCTTTCTCTGATGTCAAAAAGGAATTACGAGTATAATTTGCGAACTTACGAAATCAGATTTTAAAGCCCAGTGGAGGCAAGGCCACAGACAGCTCGACTAATTCTCTCTGACTGGCGTTTGCTACTTACAGAGAATTGCAACAGAGGCTTTTAAAGGGAACATTGTGCTGTTTGAGTGGTGAAAACAAAGTGGACACTTGGAGGATTGAATGTTGTGTTGAACGTAGGATGACAGCCGGTTCAGGTAAGTGGAAAACAATTTAACCACTTTTAAAAGAACTTCATCCTTCTTACATTTTCATTTTTTTCCAGTTTGGATCAGCTTTCAAGTCTAGTTAGAGAAATAAAGCTCACCTCAGCCAGTTAAGTTATTTGAAACGATAATCTGGCATTAATGTTTTTCTTTTTCTGATGAAAAGCTGCTCTTTGTGAAAGAGTGTCACTGCAGTGTGTGGGCACTTGGTTTGCTGCTCTGCTTTCCTTTTGATGTCTGAAAGGATTGTCTCTGCACACGGTGGGCTTAAAATGGGATTAGCTGCAGATACATTTCTGATTTTCCACCTCCTTTTGTGTTCTGGAAAATAAATTCAGAAACATTACTTTTTGGAACACTTCAACATGTTTGTATTTAAAGTTGCACTTGAGTACACCCCCATTACTCATTCAAACCTTTATTTAGCCCCTTTTTCATCTAGACTAGTTTTTACTCACGTCTGCATGGGTCTTTTCAGAATGTGACATTATCATATCACATCATACATTTGTATGTGATGATATTACTTTGTCTAAGGTGGGAGGGGTCGCCCCACAGGATTCTGGATTCTAACCTCCCACAGTCCAAAGACATCCGTATTAGGTTGAGTTGTGATTCTAAACTGGCTGTAGATGTGAGTTTAACCTTGCGTGTCTCTTTGTGTCTTTGCCTGTCTATTATGCACCCTGTCTCTTACCCAATGTCAACTGGAAGCTCCCCACAACCCTCTAGAGGCTATAGCGATAGAAAATGGATGGATCAATGCTGTCTAACTAAAGCTGTGACTTAGAAAATGGCCATCGCTCATCAAAACAACTTCAACCTTAACACTGCACTTCCTTGGGTCCCCAACAATACACTTAACAAGTTTGAACTAAATCAGATATATGTTTGTTGAGAGACGCTAACAACAGACACACCAACACACAGAGACTTCCTCACCACTTATCACAGTAAACAGTTAAATTCCATGTTTGTAGACAAATGTGGCACCGACATACAGATCCTGTCTGGACCTACATTGCTTTTGATGATGCTGCCAGGCTAAGGAGCTTTGTTTTTTAAAAAAAATTCTAAGTCATGCACAGATATTGGTCACTGGTTATTGTATCCAAATGCATTGTATCCCAAAATTTTCTAGCGGTACCACATATCTATGCACATCTGTTGTGATTTTACAAGTCTTGCTGTAGAAATATTGTATGGATATGTCACTTATTTTTTACTATAACCAAACAATAGTATCTTCTACAACTTGAAAGGTGACAATTATTTCAATGTATGTGCATAAACCCAGTTTTATTACATCCAAAGGTTATATGTGACATATGACCATCTTTATTGAGGTGAGATTATTATTTTAGCAGCCACAAGAAATACCATTCTGTCACATGTAACAACATACTGCATCTTGTTTGGCAGTTTGCATATTGTTCTTGTTTAGCTGTAGTGTTACAGCTTTTCTATTTATTGGATGCTCCACTTGTTAAATACAGCTCTGAAGCCTTATATGGGATTGAGACAAGTAATTCTCATTAACCACCTGCTGTAGCTTTGAAGAATCTTTGCCAAGTACTGTACTTAAGAGCAATTTTGAGATGCTTTACTTGAGTGTTTCTGTTTTAAGGTAGTCAATAGCATAATTGTACTACTCCCATTAGCCATTGTAAACTGTGCTCTAAAGGGCACCTTCAGCTAATACTTTGTGTAGAGGACTTTAATAATTCAAGGTGTGGTGTTGGCTATGTGGTGTGAGTGATCTACTCTCTTCATAACTGCACTGCCTGTACAGTTTGGGGTAACACTCATGCATAAAAAAGTATTTTACCATACCACCTCTTTAGCCAACTTAGATATAAATTAAAGGTTCAGATGTGTGCACACAGGTCTTTGGTGGACAGAAAAAACAGATCCACAAGCACATACTGCCATGCTAAAAATGTTTGGTTACTGCAGATATTTTTAAAGGTGTAAATTTGGCAAAAATTAACGTGAAATCTTCTTGGTAATAGTGGGACTATAATTTTCAAGTCAAAATAGCAACTCTTTCTCTTTCTCTCTCTCTTTACACCCTACACTCTGCAGGGAAGATGCAACACATGGTATGGTTGATTCTGGCAATGCTAATGATGGTTCAAGGTGTGGAGAGCTGTCCAGATGTCTGTAAATGCTCCAGGAAATCAGGCCCAGAAAAGTCAGAGGTCAACTGTCATAAGAGGGGACTTCATGCCTTTCCCTCAAACCTGCCCCCTGATGCTTGGATCCTCAAACTAGGTGAGTACCTTGCAGTTAGTCAAATCATCCTTCAGACTCTTTTGACATTCAAGGGATGTGGTAATTTATTTGGTGTTGCTGGGCGTAACTGTGTCAATAACCATCTTGTGACTGCTGCCATAAGGTGAGAATGGCATTACAGACCTGAAGGCCAATTCTCTGAGATCGCTTCCAAAGATTGAGAGCATCAACCTGGAGCGCAATGCCATCAAATCTATCCACCCCAAGGCCTTCTCCGGTGCAAAGCAGCTGATGCTTCTCAATCTTTATGGCAACCACATCTCCAGCCTTCCGCCGAGGGGGTTTCAGGTAAAGAGTTTGGAGAGGAATCAGACTGAATGTGCAGCAGTCACAATGAAATAATATAATAATAATTTTTCCATGTCTGTAGGATCTCCTGAATCTTCGCTTTCTCATGCTGGGGCAGAACCAGCTTGGTATCCTCAAACCTGAGATGTTTGCCGGCATGAGGAACCTGTCAGATCTGGACCTTCCACTCAATGCTCTGACAATGCTTCCATCTAACGCCTTCAAACCTCTGATCGCCCTCAAAGTGTTGGACCTTTCCCTGAATCGCATCCAGAGAATTTCGCCTAAAGCATTCACTGGACTCAGACAGCTCTTGTTCCTCAACTTAGACAACAACAGGTCACAATATCAGATGCCGTTTCACATGAATGTTGCACATCTTGTGGTAGATTGACTTACTAATGCAGGAATCAGACTTGTTTACTGTGCATTATTGGCCTGTTCCCCACTTGAGAAGAAGGATCAGGTAATGCAAAGCAGAGCTGACGGAAAAAGACAATTACAGGAGGATTCAAACTCTATTGATTGTCAATGACTACCTGACTGCTATTTACAGATGTTTTTACAGATGAGGGTGTTTATTAAGCGTTCAGCATTAGCATGTAAAGCAAAGTAGCTATAGTAGTACCCAATCATTCGCATCAAAGGTCAAGCAAATTTACATAAAACGACGGTCTCATCACTTGCATATCCAAAGGTTCCTCTCAATTCAGATAACGTAAGAGTTGGAGATTATGTTAGCAGCTCCACTCTAGTGTTACCTGTATTTGGTCCAGGCAACACTACAGCACCACAAAAAAATAACCCACAAATGTGTTACACTTGGCCGAGACATTGTTTATTTCCTAAAAACATTTGCTCGTGTAATGTCAAGACCAAAAAAGAGAACTATGTTACAGTGAAACCCTGAATAATATATCAAGAAAATGATGGGTTCACTATATCTGATATTCTTTCTGAATAGAAAAAGTACCCATGTGACAGGATTTTTTAGTGTTGAATTAGGGGTTGTTTGTAGATTTCGTTTTGCTAGGCAAGCAAATGTATCAAAATTTTGACGGTAAGCCGGCCCTAAAAGTCTTTGATTAGTCCAGATTAACCTGCAAAAGCTTGAGTCTGAGGACCTCCAGCAGGTTAAATTCATTTGTTTATAGCTTCTCCCAACATCTTTACTGCAGAAATGAAAATCTGTTAAACACTGAAGCCTTCACAGTTGATGAACTCAAAATCACAGTCAGAAAAAATGCCAATTTAGACCAATTCCAAGGGATTGACAGGAGGCTACAATGACGTCACTTAAATGAACAGATAAAGCCAGCAATGTTCCATGTCCTATGTCTGAAAGGGGCTTTTGTCTGTGACTGAAGGACAAGATGCACAAATGAGAATTTTGTGTATTAGTATATTTGATATGTCACTTATACAACAGAAAAGTCTTCAGTGATGATGAGCGTTGGAGCGGGGTTGTCAGGTTTGTCCTATAGTATATATAGGCCAATGTGGTCATAATCTCTCTACATATTTTTTTTTTCATAGTTATGGTACAAGGACTGCGTCACTCTACTCTACCATGCAGGACAAACTGCTTACGTCCATGTTGTCAGTTTGGATCATCAGTTCAGTAATGTTGGGTTTAGTCAGCACGACATCAAGTATGTCCCCAGCAAGTGCATGCTTAAGGCCTCTTTTACTATCTTCTCAGTTTGCTGAAAATAGATTTTTTTTTTTGTCATTACCAGGAACTAACGTTTGTGCAAAATGGGAAAGAAATCTATAACTAATCAGGTACATGCTGTAAGTGTAGGATGAGATTCAGTTTTGTAAGATGTTTCTTGAGAGGATGAGCTATGATAGAAAACTGAGGAGCAGATAGGGGTTAGAAATAGTTTGTATACTATCAATAAATGTGGATCACCTGTGGATGTGGTATCCATAAAGACTAAAAAGATTATTCCTACTTTGTAATAGATTTTACAATGTGCTTATAGTGATCAAGAGATTCTGATTGTCTCCCCACATCCAGTCTGAAGACCATTCCCGCTGGAGCGTTCAAGCCTCTGCGATCTCTGGAGATGTTGGTTCTAGACAACAACCTGGTGTCTTCGCTAACCCTGTCAGCTTTGGATGGTCTGGGCAATTTGCAGGTATCATTGTATGTTGTCCTGGAATTTGGCTGAGTCATATGCTCACTGAGATATATTGTATTAAATTTTCTCTGTTTATATAAGTCCTCTTAATACAAGAAATATATATGTGCTGAATGTGGGACCAGGAACTCTACCTGAGGAACAATGAGCTGCTGCACCTGCCATCTGATGTGTTCAGCCACATGCCAAAGCTTTCTCAGCTGGCACTCAGTGGGAACCGCCTGAAGACAATGGATGGAAACATGTTCGCCCATATGCCCGGTAAGACGACCTGCCTTTTAACGGTCCCATTTCCACAGGAAGAAATGAGGGTCTCATTACAGTAGTGGTTGAGGTAACTGTACTGTATAGAGATGGAAGCAAGATTCACTTTTAGTTATAATCTTTTCTTTTCTTGTTCTTAGAATTGAGGAAACTGTACCTCCATGACAATCCTTGGCAGTGTGACTGTAACATTATCCCCTTGGTGCGTTGGATGGGACAGACAAAGGCCACTTTGTCGCCTCGGGATGCCCTGAAGTGCGTGAGTCCTCCAGAGCTCCGAAACAAGAGCCTGGGCAACCTCGAAGCTGGAAAGCTGCCCTGTCGCGCCTAGCATCAGGTAAACTGGATGAAGGATACAGCGTGGACTCGGACCCGTGGAGATTCAGATGATGGACTTTTCGTCACAGCAGTTTTTATTCTATAGATTGGGCTAATGTTTGTACAAAGCCCATGTGTCTTGTGTGATTTCTCCAAACTGCAACATGACCAATATATTGCACAACAGTGTGTTTTCAAGAGCAGCATAATTATGTTTTCAGCTATAAGTCTTACATAAAAAATATTACCTTTGAAAAACTTTGAGTTGACCGCCATTTTTAATTTTTTTTAAACAAGCTCTGTGGTTGTAATTTCAGCCTGTACTAGTGCATGAAACCCTTCAAGTGCAGTTAAAGCATAACAATTACTAAACCTGCAGCCATGAGGTTTTTACTGGAGAGAAAGATATGTACATTATCAATGTATTTTCCACCAGCAACGAACAAGTGTTGTTGCTTATCTCCAAACCAACACTGAGATTAATATTATAATCTTATATTGCTTGTCATGAGGACACTATGCAGGTTTGGAAAGTGATGGATTACATGTAATGGGATCACAATAATCCGATTACAGGAAACGGTTTCTTTAATCTTTTGCGGTTAATGTAGAATTTTAAAAAGCAAGGCGTTTGGATAGTATATTGATAGACTGTCAGGATTCTGCGCAGCATAAAGAAAAAGTGAAGATAACTGGAGTAAAATAATAGAATTTGTAATCTCTACATACGCTTAAAGTGAAATGAGTCAGGTGATGCAGCAGTAGCTCGCTGCGTGACCAGAAGTATATAGATGCTGGGCGGCCTCTAGGCTTCTGGTGTCTGGCTTTCTCACAAATACCTGTTGGTAGAAATTTGCTCCCATTCAGTCATAAATGCATTAAATCCATCACTGACGCTGACTGATGATTGAATGTTGGGTGGTGTTGCGGTCAGGGCTCCGTACAGATCAACCAAATTCTTTCACAAAAACACCAGTGTCCATATACTTCTAGCCATAAAGTGAATAAAGGGGCTTACACTGTGGAAACAGCCTGTCCTACGGTGTCTACTTCCACAGTATATCTTCCCGCTACATCACACTTCCCACTATGATTTGCTGCAACTTTTCCCATCCCCACTGCTGTCAGATTCACACACTCTTCAGGTTCCATCCACAGGCAGAGGCGAGGATAGTTAGATCAGTTTATGGAGGGAATCGTGCAGAGATGCGGAGGATAGGAAAAGTATGACGGGGAGGTTGGTGGGGTTGCGATAGGAGCTCGAGGGGGGTGTTAACTGAGCATGATATCCTGCCCTAAGCTTTCTGTAATTGACAAGGTGACTCCCATCGACCTCCTCGCACAATGACTTTGACACGAAAACGCCAGCGTCTCCCACTCCAGCGGGGGAGATAATCGCCATAATTTCCACCTGCATTAAACCTGCTATTATAGGAGAAAGCCTAAGAACAATATAATAGCCGGGCTTTGTTCTGAGCTGCAGCTTCTTTTGCCTCCGTTGTTGGTGGCTCCTGCATACTACACAGCAAAGTCAAAAAGATTTTTCTCCCTCTCCTCCCATCCTCTCTTTTTGGTGTGTTGCTTTTAATAGGCTGGTGCTAAACCTATCATCTTAAAGAGGGCTCACTTTGACCGTTGAGACCGAACAACAACGTCTCAGCAGTTCGCAAAATGGAAATATTTCACGCTTATCAGCTTTCCTGATGATCTGATTTGAGAGGGGAGTGTGAAATTATAGCAGGAAACACGCTGCTTGAGTGTGTTATGTGGAAATATTCATATACAGAAAGTAAAGTGCATTTGACAGGTCTTGCAGTCATGGTTGTGTTTCTTTTCTTTGTACAAGATGACACTGTTTAACATGTTTTTGTGCCCTGAGTGTTCAAGATTCCTTGTTAACTGCTTAATGCAGTAAATAATGTATGATGATAGTGTGCTTTGGAACAATATTACATATTACAAACGGGCTCTCTGTGTTGTTTTTTTTTTAATTATTCAGGCTGTTGTGTTTTGTGTACAGGCGATGAAACATCCTTCCAGGCTGTGTAAGCCTTCAGATTCATATGAAATACCCAACAAAGTGTTTTTCACTTGATGTTTCAGGTTTAAGTTGGATGGTTATATTTGATTGACAAACTATTGACAACTATCTGCTATCATTTTTATACTGAGGGTTATTGGTTTACTGAGAATTTTGCAAGCAATAATAATAATAAAGCATTTAAATATGTGTCATTACGAGGTCCTGAAACATTCTCCCTCCATCCATCCTTTTTCTTTATCCTCACCATGTTTTTGGACTGTAGGAGGAAGTCTGAGAACCCGAAGAGAACCCATGCTGCACGGGGAGAACATACAAACTCCACTTTGCGTCATAACCGGGACGCAAACCGCACCGAACAGCCCCCCCAAAAATTCAGTACGATTTCAATTCCACAAATGGTGCAGCGAAGTGACTTTTTTTTACTGCTAATATCTCACTGACACAGAGTTCTAATTAAACAAAGCATGAGATGTGCAGCTAAATGGGCTTACCTCCCTTTCTACCTAAAAATTTGGTTTAACCAGAGGGATTCATTTATTTGTGCTAACAAGGGAAATGCCTTCATTCTGCATTCCCATTTCTCAGATTGTTCCCTGGATGAAGCAGTAGACTGGGAGGCCTGGGACCATTTTGGCTCAGTTAGACTTTTAAACACACGGCACAGCGGAGAAAACACAGCAGACACTGATTCATACCAACAGGGATATAATTACTGACCGGTACATTTCTCTCTTATACACAAAATGTGCTTTGTAAGGTGAGAAGCAATATGAAACTGATGAGAATCCAAATGAGGATAAAACACAATCACATGTGGATTTATTTATGATTTGTCAGACTCCTTAACATGCTACATTTGCCAAATGCATTGTGGTTTATGTTTGTACGTCGGCTGTGTCCAACCACAAAAATATCTCCTCAGATGCTCAGTGGAACAAATAACTGGGACACTCAGTGGGACCTTTGTGGGACGAAACAGCCTTCTTCTTGACCCAGAAAAAAAAGCTGCTTACAAGGCTCATTTTTGTGGTATTTTGGCATCAAATTAAACACCTAAACATTTTCTTAAAGCCTTTTCTTAAAACTGTTATTTATCCTCTGATGGCTGAATAATCGTGACCTGTATGATCACAACCTTCTATCCACTCTTAAACTAATTAAGTAGTGCATTTGTTTAACCAGAGTAGCTCCACTGGGTCTTACGTGCCTTAATAAGGGCAACCTGAGCCGTGGTGACTAAAGACCAATTTAGAAAAGGGGGTCTTAAATCAATGATGCAGAGGTGGAGCTATCCTGTGACTGTCCACAGCATCTAAACAGGTCAGTGCCAGCAGAAACCTGAATTTTCTGGCCTTATTTTGCTGTTATTTCATCATGAAAGTTGTGTCCTGGTGTTTCAGGTCAGCCTTTAATTCCCCTGCAAATATTAAGACAGCACTGATAATGTATGGATGTATGTGCTGTATGTCTGCATGCATGGGTGGTCCTGTTCCCTTTAAAAAACACAACACGTTGGAAAAAGTGCAAATGTTTCTGAAAAAGACTAGATCTGTGTTTCCCTACACACACCTTAAGTGTAATCATTTTTTTTGAATATCAAACGAGCAGAGTAATTCTGGCATCATGGTTAGAGGAAAAGGTCAAAAGCACTGATCTGAAGAGGGACAAAGACAAGGAAGAAATGATGGGGACTGTCCAATGGAGGAGAATAGAGAAAAAGCTTGAGGAGGATGAGTTTCAAGCATCAGCCCACCTCCCAGAGTCGAGGTGAGTCTTTATCGGAAAGAGAGGAGTAGGTGGACGAGGATTAAGAAGGGGTCGAAAGGTGGTGAATAGCTTTCCCGGTGTTAAAGGCAGAGAATGGGATTTGAAGTGAAAAGCGGTTATTTCTGGCAGCAGAGATAGTGGAGGAATTTGTGGATAAACCCAGGGCTTAACATTGCTATTTATCAGTGACATTAACTCCTAATAAAAAGACATAACCTAGACATAGGTTCAATTTCCTGATGTACAAAACAGTGTTGCCCCTGATCCGAGTTATTTATTACATAGTGTCTGCCAATACAGATTTTCCATGCAATACCATATTTCTAGATAATACACACTTAAAGTACATTAAAATTTAAACCCCTCCAATGTATATGATTGACAACTAAATAGCTCTGCAATGCATTTAGGAAAAAATCGCATTTCTGCATTCAGTGTGTTCCTTAATGTTGTGTAGGCGGTCATTGACCTTGTTGTAAAGCTCCAGTAAGGCACTGTCAGAACTGTAGTAATGAGAGAGTACGGTGTACTGTCACTCCACAAGCTCCACAAGACGGCAAAATCCCTCAGTCTGTATATTCTTTTTTTCTTCTTGTAAATTAGCTGTAGTACCTGGTTGCCCCACCAGATGGAGCATCTTACAGGTAAATGCTATAGCGACTCATGGAGGTGGTCACTTGGACGATGGAGGGATCCTTGCTGGCCAGAAGAGATGACTGTAATGGTTTAACCAGCAACGGGCACCATGACAAAAACCTCTGTGACCATAATGGTCTCCAGCGTCTTTGTCTTACAAGACTAATATTATTGTGATTTGAAAAAATTGTGTGCTGTGCGTATGTCCACATAACCCTAACACTTACAGTTTTCCAACTGATTGGGACAAAACGAAACTAAAAAAGCGGGTTGCTAAACAAAACTGGGATCTGACAGATACCGAAAAAGCACAAAGAACTTAATGTAACTGCAAAGACAAGTGATTAGCACAGTTGTTATGAGTGCCTCCTTTAAAGTCTTTTCCTTTCAGCTTTTCCTCTCAGGGTTCGCCACAGCGAATCATCTGCTTCCATCTAACCCTATCCCCTGCATCTTCTTCTCTCACACCAACTAACTCCATGTCCTCTTTCACTACATCCATAAACCTCCTCTTTGGTCTTCCTCTAGGCCTCCTGTCTGGCAGTTCAAATTTCAGCATCCCTCTGTCCTTTAAAATACACTCCTATTTCTTCATTCTGGCGATAAAGCATAGCAGCTTTAAAGTGAGTCTTTTTAATATTTGCTGGACATCAGCGACCGAGGAATGACAACAACTGAATAATTGCACATACTAAACTGTCCTGTAACAGTACTAAAGGTAGCGTAGAATCATGAAGTCAGCACACTTAACACCAACCACATACATTAAATTACACCAGGGTCGGTTTTATTTCTTATGAATTATACTTAT